TTTAAATCAACCTAAACATTCTAATCTCGAGAAAAAAATGTTTTCAATTTATAGGCTTAGGAGGGAAACTCAGTAGAGGTTCCTGCAATTGAGCAGATGTTACCAGAATGAGAAGAAAAAAAAAATACTGAAGTATGCTCACTAATTGAGCAAAATCCTATAAATGAAGCCCAGAAGTTCATCTCTCCTTTGACTTTAGTCAGTCTTTAAATAATTGTAATGAGTCTGTAAGTTCTAGCCAGACTTGCTGCTTATGCATCATTAAAATCAAACTTCTACTTCTGCCAGTGTATTAACTTGTCTATATAGTCACATAATTAGCATCTCATCAATTTATGCTATTCTGGAACTTCCTCATATCTTCCAATCTCACATCCAACATTGCGAAAAGCAGTTACTATCTCCTCATAAAATTCTGCTGTCCTTCAACTTCTGCTATTTTTCCTGCATGAAAATCAGATTTTAAAAAGGAGAAATACTAGACAGATCAGTGAGTGTTCAAGATATTATGTAAAATATGGGGCAAGCCAGAAAGCTGAAACACTTCGGTCAGACAGACCAGATTCATGGTCTGGGGTCTCTCTGGCACCTGTTTAATGGCTGGGATTTCAATGTTGGCATCTCTGACTGGGGGTCTAGGGGTTCAGTCCCTAGTCACAACTCCGCCAGCCAGAGAGGATCATTCCTACTTGGCTGTGATTTATACTGACATTTAATTTTTTTAAACTTTTCTTTTTTTCTTTCCTTTTGGTAACGGCTCCTTTGATCAACTTAACAGCCTTGATTGGGCTCCCACTGTCATGGTTGTGAAGCGATTGTTTTACTCAGATAAAGACAGAAACTACTTTTTGAGAAGTTCCTTCGTCGTCAACTTGTTTTTAGACTATTTCTCCGGTTGCACATGACGGCACAACTTTAGAGCTACCTGGGTTCCCCTTTTATCTTTGGGGTTTTGAAAGGGGAGTTGGGTTAAAAGGTGAAGCCCACAGGGCAGCCTCCCGCCGTTAGGTCTCGGCCAAAGTTTCTGCCGGTCAAGTTTGAGGCTCGACGATCGACAGGAGCCCCTGGATGTGGCTGATTCACCGGCTCCTCACAGTAGCCGCCCGGCAGGTCAGCCGGCGCGACATTTGCCGCTGGACTCTTAGGAGGCTTGGGGGGCGGGGGTGCTCCTGAGCCCCAAGCGCCTCGGCCTCGGGCAGAGCCGGCAGCTGCTGGAGAGCAACTCGGTGGCTGGAGCTGCGGAGCGGGGGGCGCCTGCACCCAGCGGCACGCACCGGGCGCGGGGTAAGAGCCGGCCCGGGTACCGGGGGTGCGGGGCGGCGGTGTCAGGACGAGCCGAGGCGCCTCGGGAGCGTGCGGGCCCGGGGAGGCTCGGAGCTGCGGCTGTGCGCCCGGGGCGCGCAGGGAAGGCTGGGCTGCTCTTCCTACCAGGTCCCCGCGCCGACCCGGTTTTCATGTGTTGTACAAAGGCTGAGAAACTCACTGGCTCTTCCCAGAACCCAGACCCTGGGCGGGGAGCACCCAGCAGGCTCTGGGACGCACCTGTTGCCAGAGAAGGACCCAACCTCCGCGCCGCCGCTGCCCGGCGGCCCGCGGTCCCGCTGCGAGGACGCGGGGTGTGGCCGAGAGCGCGGCCCCGCGCCGCCGCTGGGTGGCTCCGGCTCCCGGTCTGTCTGCGCCCTCTGAATGGGCCCCCGGCCAGGGCCAAGGTCACGGCGCATCTCCGGCTAGCGCCCGTGTGGGTTGGTTCAGCAGCTTCTGCCTGTTGCCGGCTCTTACTCTCCCCCTTGCACACACCTGGGGTGCGCGATGGCAGAGACACTCTGAAAAAATCCGTCAGGTCAGGCTCCTGAGCTCCACTCTTGCTCTTTCTCAGGTTCGGGCTTATCCCGAGAAGCAACCTTGGGAGCAGCGCCCAGCTACCTGGTGGGCACCGTCGCCTTTGGGGCCCTGGCGAGTATCAACCCATTTCATGGAAAGCAAAGTTGTGGCTCCTTTATTCACCCTCTCTTACCGTTGTTGAACTCTCCAACAGACAGAGAAAGAGGAGTAAAACTCCTAGGAGAGTCTGGGACTCCTTGAAGGCCTCACTAGAAGTGCTGGCCTGGCTGAGGCCCTGGACCTCGGGCCATACCACACTGACACGGCGGTCTTTCGGGAAAGCAGAGGGCGACCAGAAAAGAGAGGGCGCACTGTGTCTCGGGCTGCGAACCAGGCCCTGGGCTTGGACACGGCAGCTCTGTCACTTTAAGCACCGCCAGGTTACTGGAGCTAAAAACCTTTGGGTGGAGGGTCTCTGGTTAGTGCAGGCGGAAGCCCTTGGCTCCCTTCCCGCCTCGCGTAGCTCCTGGGAACTGGTCGAGGCCCGTGTAGGTCCCCCTCTCGGTGGAAAGGCGGTGCCAAGGAAGAGAGGTTTCTGGTTCAGACTCCTGGAACCTCGGCCCTTTCCTTTCCAAGCCCGGAAATGAGTTGTTCGCTTATATTTCCACGACTGCTTCCCCCCACCGTCTTTTCCCTGCAACCTTGTTGATTAATTTGGGGAAATGTTACACCTTATTTCATATTGCCCACTGAGAAACTTGGGGTTTTTACTAAGATGGAATACCTTTCATCAGCATAATTTTTCTACTTCTTCACTTGCAATCCTTCTACTCTAAACAGACTTGAGTACTTCCTGAAATCAAAACTGGGGAGTAGCACTCTCAGCTTGAGCATGGGAAAGACACATCGATTCCCAGGGGTCAGGGAGCAGGCTCGGGAGGACGGCTGGGGCGGGTCCTGTGCACTGCCAAAGGCTGGGAAGCAACTTTTCTTCTGTGGAGAACTCTCTGCCCCCACCCCCACCGGATCAGCAGGCAAACCTCAGAGGACTGTCGTCTGGACCACGCCTCTCCTCCTAGCTTCCGTCCTACACCTATTCTGTGTCCGAATATATGCAGATATTCTGGAACCCCTTTTCACAAAAGCAGCTGGTGGGGGGGGTCACTGAGCTAAAAAGTGGGGGAGTCTAGTGAGGTAAGAAACATTCCCCTGGCTTGGATATTAGGAGAATGTTTGGACATCAATCTTTCCACAATCAATCGAATCTCTTGGTTTCTCCGTTTTAAGAAACTTTTCTTCTGTGGAGGTGGAGGCGGTTGGAGAATAAGAGACTCGTGTCCGAACTTCAAGGGCACCGAAGTCCTGTCCTTGACGAGGGACTGTTGGCCATTTCCTTTCTTTTTTTTTTTTTGTTTGTTTGTTTGTTTGTTTGTTTTACAGAGAAACAAAGTTTGGTGTAGAAAAAATACCCTTTCCAATGTTGCGTCGGTGTCCCCGTCGGCCTGGTGTTGCCAGCACTGCTTTTGCGGTGTGAGTGCCAACGAGGCGCAGACGCCCGGAGCATGCAGGCTCGGAACCGGCGCATCCCTCCTTCCGTTCCATTTGTGTACACGGGGAGTGAGGCCCCCTCCTCCTTGCGAGTCCTGGAGACTTGCAGTGACTCAGCCGCGCAGATTGAGGCCCTAACTACCCAGGTTCCTGGATTATTAGGGTTTCCCATTTTGCACCCAGACACTCAGCACAACCTAGCGTCTGTCTCCGATTCCTCCGAGCTCGGAGCGTGGCGGTGGCCAGATTTTCTTGGAGGTCGTCCTGGGGCAGTCTCCCTTCTGGGATTTTCTGCCTTCCCACCCCTCTCGCTGCTTAGTTATTCCCGACTGACAAAAACACAGCAAGGGGGAAGAAAAACCGGCGCCGACCTCGGCACTCGCACGGAGAGCTCCAGACTCGGCCTGTCCTGTATCCTCAGAAAAATTGTGCGCTGGACCGCAGTGCCCACGCACGCACGCACAGAGGTTCTACCCGACCCTCTCGCTGCCGACACACACACACACACACACACACACACACACACACACACACACACACAATGTAGTTTATTATTCGACCCAGAGCTCCGGCTTTCCCCAGCCCGCCTCGCAATCCGCGCAGCGAGCACCAGCTACCGGCGGGACTGCCCCACCTCGGTCCTTGTCGCCAGGGTCAAGCGGCCGGGAGGAAGCCTGAGCAGGAACACTTTCTCCGGAGTTCCCGGGAAACTTTCCAATCCCTCATTTCTTTTTGCCCCCTCGGCTCCTTTTCCTCCCCTCCCCTTGTTAAGTTGCTCTTCTTGTAACGCGAGTATTCCCCTCGCCCCACACAGATCCAGGTCTAAGAAGTTAGAGCACTGAGCAAAGCTGAAAGTCTTTCAGTAATCTGTTTTTCAAAACGAAAGAAAAGACGCAGAGAGCAAGAGACCCATCCCCAAGGCATTATCAGGGGAAAACCCATCACCAGTTATGAGTCAGGGGAAAACCCATCACCACAGCAGAAGGGCCCAATAAACAGCATGAACACAATGTCTGCTTAAGAAAACAGAACTAATTAAAAATAAACAACAAACCTTCAGAGAACGCACTCGACTATTATCTCATCCCCTCTCTCCCACACCTGTGCGTTGAACCTGCCCTCCATCCGCATCTGCCCCGGAAACCGTTTCATTCTGACTTTTTGGTCCACATTTTCCTAAAATTGAATAGCTATGAAAGGAAGGAGAAATAATGTTTCAATTCCTTTCTCCAGACCCAGAGGAATCTCCGCAACCTTCCTATACTCCTTTCCTTCACTTCCTTCTGTTTCTTAGGTGTGATTTGGTTAGAGAAATTGAGAAGGGGGTTGGAGGTGGAGGCAAGTTTAAAAAAAAAAAATCAGGAAGGCGCGCGAGCTGGAGCGGTGAGTGTGTCAATCAGAGGGTTTGTGCCTGGGGGCTCCTAGCGGTTCTGAGCAGAGGTGTCCCAGGGCGGCCCCACAATGAATATGAATAGGAATCCTTGCTAAATGGGACAGCAAAGCGCACCGCCCTGAATGATGGCACGTCATCTTAACCAGCCCAGGATAGATAGGAGGGTTTCTTTTGTCTCTTTCCCCCCACCCGCCGCAACTCTATAAAAGCCCCTCTTTTTCAGTGTGAGGTTAGTTCATGCACGCCCCGACTAGCTGTCCAGGAAACGGCCTAAACAGGGGAGCGGAGAGAGAAGGGCGGGGAAAGGCGGTGCCGCAGCTTCTCTTCTCACGTCTTGTCGCGGAGAAGTGGGTCGCTGGGCTGTGCACATTTTTTTAAATTCAAGATTTTCTTTAATTTCCCGCCTAAAGCCTCCCCACGATTGAGACGCATCCCCTGTAATAAAATGAATTCTGATTCGAGCTCTGTCTCCAGCAGAGCTTCGTCTCCGGACATGGATGAGATGTATCTGAGGGACCACCACCACCGACACCACCACCACCAGGAGAGCCGTCTCAACTCGGTCTCCTCCACACAGGGCGACATGGTGCAGAAGATGCCGGGGGAAAGCCTCTCGCGGGCCGGCGCCAAGGCCGCGGGTGAGAGCAGCAAGTACAAAATCAAGAAACAGTTGTCGGAGCAGGACCTACAGCAGTTGCGGCTGAAGATCAACGGACGCGAGCGCAAGCGGATGCACGACCTGAACCTCGCCATGGACGGGCTGCGCGAGGTCATGCCCTATGCGCACGGGCCCTCGGTGCGAAAGCTCTCCAAGATCGCCACCCTACTGCTGGCCAGAAACTACATCCTCATGCTCACCAGCTCCCTGGAGGAGATGAAGAGGTTGGTTGGAGAGATCTACGGGGGCCACCACTCGGCCTTCCACTGCGGCACGGTGGGCCACTCGGCGGGCCACCCAGCGCACGCCGCCAACGCCGTGCACCCTGTGCACCCCATCCTGGGCGGCGCGCTGTCGTCGAGCAATGCCTCGTCACCGCTGTCCGCTGCCTCGCTGCCAGCCATCGGCACCATTCGGCCTCCGCACTCGCTGCTCAAGGCGCCCTCCACGCCGCCCGCGCTGCAGCTGGGCAGCGGCTTCCAGCACTGGGCCGGGCTGCCTTGCCCCTGCACCATCTGCCAGATGCCGCCGCCACCGCACCTGTCCGCTCTCTCCACAGCCAACATGGCCCGGCTGTCGGCCGAGTCCAAGGACCTGCTCAAGTGAGCAGAGGGCCGGCCCGGCTGCGGAGGAGAAGGAAGAGCGGCGGGAGGGGCCGCGTGCCGGGCCGGGAGGGAAGGAGGAGGCTGGGCTCTCGGCTGGCGGGAGGGCGGGCGCAGGGCCCCGTGGCCTCCCACACAAGCTGAGATCTCAGACCCCACTTGACTCCCGGAGGGAAAGGACCAAAACCAAACTGCAGTTTCCAGATGGTAGGGAAGGGGAACGCGAACCAGACGTCGTGTGTTTTGCATGCATGCCTCTTTCCCCGTGCCGCGCCAGTCTTTCTCACTGCCATAAGCTCTTGTCAAAACTGCATTTGTTGTATGAAGTGGGGATCGGTGTAGTTAAACACTTGCGAAGGGACTTTAGAGTTGGCTTTCTCTGGCTCTGTGTTCTCACCTTGGAAAAGACATCCATCCCTTTTGTGCAAAACAAATGTAAATATTTCCTTTAGATGGGTGCAATTCTGATGGTCACTATCCTCTCCACAGTTGTTTTGTTTTCTAGAGACATTGGAGAGAGAGAGAAAGAGAAAGACCCAAGTTTTGAGTCTCACCTCCGGTCCAGGGCATGACATCTCTTATGTGGGTTTTCCTTATGACGCAGTGTAGGTCAAAAGAATGCATGCACGCTTCTAAACGAATCTTGTCTAAACATGTTGTGCAGGCTGTGATGCCATTTTCCTTGTAACAAGGATTTATTAGTGAATTCTCTCAAGTACTCCGTATATCTGTCTGTGGTTGTATGAAATGAAAACGGGGGCAGAGTGCAAAGACCCAAACTCATGCACATGCGCTTCTTCTCCCACCCCCTACCCCTTCAAGCTCCTTTCCCAACCTTCCTAGGCTGTTCTAGGGGCGATGGCCAGAGCCTGGGCTCCCTCCACTAGCTTGCCCCACTCCCCCCTTGCTCAGTTATTCTGCATGCGGGGTCGGCTCTCTCTATCATCAGCTTTGAAAACTTTTCATGGTTTGGGGAGGGGTGCAGTTTTTATTTTCCTGAACATTTGCTTGAAATATTTTGTTAGGGCTTCAAAGACAACACCTGTCTTTATTTTTTATATATTCTTGATAACTATGATATATTTATTAATAACCAGTGTTTCTGGATGAGATTTCAAATAAAAAAGAACCTTTAAATCCTGGCTTTGCCTTTGCCTAACATTTTTGAAGATGGGGTAGTGGGTAGGGAACATGTGGACCCAGAAGGTGTATCTGGGCCTGGGTGAGAGATTTGGATGGGTGGGCAGATGTGAAGAGTTTCCTCTGGTCATTTATAGGTGAAAAGGTCAGATAAACTGGTGTTAATTATTACAACTAAATGTCCTCCGAATGGGGGCATTGTCAATGTTGGTAGTCTTGTGATATCTGAGCTCCTTGTTTCTCTGCAATAATCAGACCCTCATAAACTCAGCAATTGAGATTTTTAGAAAAGTAATGTGGAAACCCAAAATTACAGGAAATTAGAGGTGGAGCAGTGACTATGGTGGCTGTGTTGGCAACTGATGAGAATGAAGCCGTAAGTTAGCCTCTTTTCACTTTAAATTGACCATGTGGCCCTTAGGAGAAAACAGGTTAAAATGCAATATATGTTTTAAAAGTCAACAAAGAGTGGTCCTAAAAAATCAAATGCTGGGCCCCTGCCTGCTCCCTGGGCAGCAGCCCCTCAGAGAAAAGGGAAGGCTGTTCTGCTTTGTAGGGTGAGCAGGGTGAGGCCATTGACCGCCCAAGTCTCAGTACCACGCAGATTTATAGGGGTAATTCTCCCTTCTTTCTTCTCTTAGGAGATGGCAGGTCTTTAGTTGAATACAGACTATTTGCAAGTGTTATGGAGTGAAGAGTGGGGAATGTAGAGGAAAATCTACATTAATGATGGCTAAAACAGGGGTCATTCAAATCAATTACTCTCTTCATCCCTCCATCCCATAATAGTTCCAAATAGTGTATATAAGTAAAAGTCATCCAGCAATAAGGTTTTGTTTGTTTACAGAGGACAAGAAATCAAGTTTGAGTGATGATAACCCCAACAGCACGTGCCTCTATTTCCCACTAAGGAAAATCAAAACCTGATTGAAATGTGCTACCCAAAATTTTCCTGGATTACATGTAACATCACCTCCCTGTTGGCAAGGCCTATACACTCCTCTTCAAGAGGGGGAGGCTGGAGATGTCCGCCCAGGGCAATAGAGCTGTCCCTCTCCAGTATCCAGCATGGACAGCACATCTAAGAAGCACCTGTCTTTTCCTTCCTGGGTCCCCCACCCCCTGCCTGGTGCTGCCCCTCCCTGGGAGGGCCTCTCTGTGGTCCTGATTCTACTGAACTCATTCTTCTCCACATCTTTTTACCCCCCTGCCCTCCCCAGCTCCCCCACTGCCAGGGAGAAAGACCAAAGTGAGGATCTACAGTGGAGGGTGCTTATTTCCTCTGGTTTTTGGCAGACAAATGGGGGAATAATCGTTTGTTTCCCAGGGGTGATTCATTTCTCTGGGTGAGCAAAGAGCTGTTGAGGATTTATTTGAAACCAACACAAGGCAGCCCTCCAGCCTTTCTCTGTGAGGGGAAGGGACAGAGAAGTTTCATCAATCAGGAAAACGACTTTCCCTAAACCACTTGCTTCTTCGAGTCCTGTTTCCAAAGGCCTGGTCCTGGGAACAGACCAGAGGCCTGACCACTGGCTTAGCGGTGAGCTTTACCCAGTCTCTCGAGTTGGAGATTAAACGGGGCGCTGGAAGGAGTAAGGCCTTACATTCGGGCAATGCTCGCTTTTGAGGTCGTGCTGCTGGGACCAGAATCCTTGGAGTTATCTCCAGCGGTCAATTTAAGAGCTGCTAATTCTGCTCCTGTGGGGTCACCGCACCAACAGGAACCTGGAGCCCAGGGAACTCTATCCCGGGCTGTCCAGAAGCGGATAAAGAGGCCCTGCTTCCAACGTCGAAGAGGTCTCTTAAATGGGCTGAGCCCTTCGGTGGGTCACACAACTCCCTTTTTCCTAGAGGCTGGGAGAAAGGATTAGAACAGCGCAGGAACTGAAGAAGGAAAGCGATTTGGGAGCCAGGTCGCCCGGAGTTTCTTGATTTATTGGATAGGAACAATCACTACTCGCCTTCCCAGGAAAGGCCTTGGGGCAGTGCGGGCTGGTGAGCTGGGGCTGTGACTTTACAGGCAACTCTTACTTGCATTTCCCTTTAAATTCTCAAATGACTGATGCCAGAAACAAGATTACACGGCCTGGAAAGTGAGAATGGCTTTTGGCGGATTTTTTTTTTCCCCGTTGTGAATTTGTCACTTTCTCCAAAGTTCCGAAGTTTAAAACAGTTTTTCATTCCATCTAGAAACACACAACGACCCCTTAATTTCTAAATAAACGTTGCTTTAGAGTTAAAAGGGCAGCGAAGGCTTCGTGGGCGGAGGTATCTTGAGAAGCCTACAAGGAAACCTCCCTGCGGTTTAAACCGGTGACCGAACTTGAAGGGAGGGAGAAAGTCACACTTAGAAAGGGAAAGCAGGCGGCTAGCCCTTAGTTTCCAGCGATCCTCTCCTCCTTCCCGGGGTTGTGGAGTTTGGGTTGATATTCGACCAGGGGCAGCCTGAGCAGCCCAAGAGAGGGCCAAGGTCTTGAGTCCCCTTAAACTTTGTCTTCAAGCTGTTGGGTCGCGCAAGGTTTTGTCGCCTTCACTAATACACATTACCAGAAATTGCAAAAGCCCCTTCCTTGGGGGAGGGGGGTTCTCCTAACACCTCTCTCGGCTAACAAAATTTGATTGCTCTTTCTAGGTCCCTTCTAGAGACTTCAGGCCCCGCCCTCCCACCGCTAGTTTAGGGTGCGCTCCCAGCCCTCCCGCTGCCGCTCGCTCCCAACGCTCTGACACCCTTTGGGGTACGGGGACAGGCCTGGGGCTGGGGACAGGCCTCCAGGCTGGGCATGGATCAGCCCTGGAGAAGTTGAAGACGCCCCACAGGAGATCAACCTCAACCCTCGGAGGCTCTTCTGGCGTGACGGAGCTAGAGGGGTCAGTCCCTGGCTCATAAGGTCCTCCCGGGGCACCTCCCCACTGCCGCCGCTCCCGGCCCAAGCTGGAGAAGGGGAGCTGTGCAGAGAGGACGTGGGGCGAGGCGACAGCCCCGGCCGCTAGGGATTCAGCCTCTCCTGTTAGAACGGTCCGCTGAGGCCTGGCTCCGCAGGTGTAGGAAGCGAAGCCAGAGGAGGAGCCCAGCCGAAGGGCGCAGCCTGTGACTTCGGAAAGAAATCGGCCAAGGGAGGGGCCCTGGTGGCGCGGGCGCACCTGCGCCGTCCCTGCCTCTCCGAAACCCCGCGGGAGACCGAGTGCTCTCCCTCCCTAACACTGCCAAATCTCTGAGCCCCTTGTGTACCTATTTCCCTTCTGAGCAGCCGGGAGGAGGCAAACCCCTGCGGTTCGGGTCTGCAGAGTCTCACTTTTTAGTTTTGTCTGTTTTCAGTGACACCTTCCCTGGGACACTGCGGGGTCCAGAGAGGGTGGGGTACGGGGGTCCACCGTGACCGAGAGCAAGAGCCCCTCAGGAATCCGCACTCGCTGAGGACCTCAGAGCCCTCCCTGGGCCTCTGGTTTCGCTGGGTGTGTGACCTCCCTCTGTCCTCCTGAGCCCCGCAAAAGGAGCGGGAAGCCGGCCCTGGTCAGCGTCCCCCGCGGTGGGAACTGGCCACACACTCGCCTTTGGCTCTAGGGCCTAACGCGGCACCGGGCGGCTCCGAGGCTCCAGCTCCGTGATGAGCTGTAGTCCTCGGGTTGGGGTTGAGTCCCGTGGGAAGTGTCGGTCTCCGCGCCGGATCCTGGACTCCTCGCTGTTGGCTCTGCAGGCCCAGAGAGGCGGGGGCGCAGGCGACAGAAGAAAGACGCACAGAGAGGAACATCTTGGAGCTAGGCCCTGACCAGACTGTCTAAACCCTTGTAGAGAGCCTCGAATTACCTAAGTATGTCTGAAAATTGGGAGGGAGAAGAAAGCAACAACAGCAATAACAACCAACAAATCCAAACTCGAGCCTAGTGGTACGGGTGCACTCTTTTCTCTCTGTTCCCTGCGCCCCCAAACCCAGTCTGGCACTGACACTTTGTAAACTTTGCTACGGAGGTCGGCTTGTCGTTGGCCCGGATGGCCCGGCTGCTGCGTTTGCTCGTTGGGAATCCTCCCCAGGACCTAAGCGCCTGGGTCTCCGCGGCATATCCGGACGACACCTGGCCCCGAGCCCCTGCTTCTAATCCAAGCCCCGGCCCTGTCCCGGGTTCCGGCACCAAAGTGTGTACTCCGTCCCGAGGCCCGCACTCGGGAAAGAAAGCTCACCAGACCCAGGAGTGGGCCGCGGCAGCCGGGACCTGCGGGGCTGAGGCCCCCGAGCGGAGAGAGAGGCGTGTGCAGATCCTGGCGCTCAGCGCCCAGGCCTGGATTTTGAGCCAGCGTCCTGGGGTTCCGGTACAGGAGAAGTAGCTGGGTGTCTCACGCCCGAGAAGGGCAGGGTGGGGGCAGCCCTGAAAGGTGTGAGGCAACTTAAGATAGCCGTCCCCGAAACTTTTAGGGTTCCGTCTGGCCCTGACTTGTTCAGGCCCCGTCTTTCCCTCGCATTCGGTGACCGGCACCTGGGGGAGTGCAGGAGTTGGGGGCTGATTCTGGGGAACGCCACAGTTTACAAGTGAGATGCAGTCTCAAGAACCCCTCAACTCCCTTAGACCTTGGAAAATTCCAGAATCCGGGTTCTGAGAAGCCCCCCACCCCACCCCACCCCACCCCACCTCACCCCAGCGTGCTGCAGAGCTGCGGTACCGAAGTGGAGGAGGGGGCGGGTAAATAACCAGGAGGATCTCTAGCAGCATCCTTAACTCCATGCGAGGGAATAGAGGTTGGAGGTAGCCCATTCCGAAGAGAATCTCTTCCCCTCCTGGTTATTTACCCGCCCCCTCCTCCGCTTCGCATCCATCCGGGGAAATTACAAGGAAATTCACATCCACCTTTCGACCCAAAGTAAACATACAGCGCTTTAGCGCACCCCCAGCAATGTAAGCCTTGACATCACTTCCTTTGGAGTTTCTCTTAATTAATCTTACTCCACACTTCAGCACTGCACGCATTCCGAGTGTTTCCGATGTGCCAGCCACTGGGAGGGGCA